TCTCAGATATCTCAATTATCAATGAATGCTATAACTGAAAAATCAGATAATGAAATATTGAAAATTAAGAAAAATATTTTACCGAAAAATTATTTAAAAAAAAAAGTGAATTTTTACAAGAAACAAAAATTAAAAAAAAATGAGGCTTTTGAAATTGTTTCTGAATATTCTTCAGTACCTGTAATAGCTGATTCTATTGTTTCTTCAAAAGGAAATGTGTCTTATTTAAGAGGAAACGTTGATATAAGCAGTAATTTATCAGAAAATATTCATATGCTCAGTAATTTTGGATCAAATATTGCTCAACATTTAAAATGCACAAATTCAGACGAAATAAGTGATACAACTCATCAATATTTAAATGCAATTAAATGTGCAGCTATAACCACAACTATGTGTTCAACACCTGCAGTGAACACAAGGGGTAATACAACAGTTGATATTATTTCTGATCAAAATACTAATATTGCTGAGACTTCATCAATAATTCATGCAACCAGGTGAGTTATTAAAGTAAGTAAATTAAATTATCAAAATTGATGGAAATTGATCTATTTTAGATATTGATAATTCTATATTATACATTATATTTCAGAAAAAAATATTTATTGAATGTTTAAATATTTATATTTTTTTATTATAATATATATAATTTTAATCTATAAAATGTAAATATAAGTTTTTGAACTTAATTGAAAAATATGATATGATATGATATGAAAAAACTATTTTATTGATTCTTTTTCTAATCTATATTTAAAATATAATTTATTTGTATTTTAAAAAAAAATAATTTAAAATATATCATATTAAAAATATAAAATTGTTTATATTTAATGAAGTTTTATATCAAAAATATCAAAATATATAATTTTATTTTTCACAAAATATCTTTGATGAAAAATATTCAATTTAATTTCAATAAATATAGTGTACAAAAATAAATAATTAATTTGATTAATATGATATTAATTTTGTTGTAATTTTTTTTATTATAGTGGAATTATTTAATATTCTTTATTTCGAATAAGTACATATTATAATAAATAAATAATATATATTATTAAAATTATAATGTAATAATGGAAATTATTAAAATTAATTCGAAATATAAAATATATTATGATGAAATAAGTTTTTTAATATTATTTAAATGATTTCATGCTGCTTATTCTTCATTATACTGTGCATCATATTAAATATGTCAAATTAAGACTTATTTATTAATTTTTATATAAAAAAAAGACTTATTCATTTGTCACAAATATAAAAATTTTTAAAACTCATTTTTGTAAAAATAATTTGAATCTGATGAAGAAATTATAAATATATGTAATATTAAATATAATTTAAAAAAATTTTCTACTTAAATTTATATTTCATTTGAAAAATAATGCTTTTTCTTTTATTTATGCTGATTTCAACATTATCTTATGTCTCGCTTGCACTTATTATAATAATTTTTGTTAACTAATGCAATCATATTAATCTTCCTTTTATAAAATACCATAAAAAATCATTTTGTTTTTTTATATTTTCCTGCTAATCTTAAATATAAAATTTTAACATGTTGATATCCATCTAATATCTAATTTATTTAATATTTAACATGTTATTTATATTTAATATTAATTAATACAAAATAAATTAAAAGCTCTATTAAGAGATTTCTATCTATATTGTAATTAAATTACATTTTTTATAAATTTAGAATTTAATTTTGTAATAATTATTTATTATATTGATTGATATAGTAAAGTATTATATAAATTTTATAAATTATATATAACTTAAATTATTAATTTACGAAAATGATTTTATTGTTATTAGAATGGATAATAAGTTTTTATTTAAAAATTTGTTTTAAAATTCTATTGTTTAAAATAAAATTCAAAATAAATTTTATTTGATTTTTATTAAATGTAAAATTCATTTTAAGAATTATTATATTTTTTTATATCTTTTTTCTAAATCAACTACATTAAAGATAATTAAAAAGTATATATATAATTTCATTGTATTATTATCAGTAATATTTATATTTAATTGTTATGATATATAAAGAAATATTATAAAATATTATAAAATATACATTATATGATCAAATATATTAAATAAATTTCTAACATAATTTTTTTTGTTATAATTTTTATAATATTTATCATATTTTTTATTAATTATAATATCGTTTATTTTTTATTGATTATGTTTTTATGTTATTTTTTCTTGATTATTGTCTTCAACTTTTTAAAATGTTATAGCAAAAATTTTACTTTACTATATCAAAATATTGATTATATTATAAATAAATAATATAAAAATATAAAATTATAGAATTATATTGTAAAAATTAATAACCTGATTTTTATAGCACAAAATAAAATAAATGACATAGAAGAAGAAGAAGAAAAAGAAGAACAACAGTTACAAGTTATTAAAAATGAAGATTCAGAAATAAAAAACAGAAGATATGCTGAAGAAAATAACAATTTTTATGATTTTGACGATGATGAAATTGATGAGTTTGAAGAATTGAAAATGCATCTAGAACCAAAGTATCAGCGATATGCTAAATGGAGGATCTAAAATTATGTTTTTTTGACTGTTTAAATAGTGTGTAATGATTTTATAAAAATACGAATTCAACTCAGAATCGTACTAAGGAATTTATATTGTACAAATGAAAAGATATAAATCTTATAAATATTATTGTAAATATATAGAAAGAGAATTTGTAGTATTTTATACATTAGTTTTGCTCAGCTCTAGTTTAAATTGATAAAGATAGAGAAAAATAAGATGAATGGAGAAAATATGGATCCTCATATACATATACGTGTATTAGGAATAATCTTAGTACATGTTTAATTCTAGTCTAGAAAACAGTTGATCTATAATAGCATGAATTAAAAAAATAAATCGTAGATATCAAAACAAAGTTTAAGATTTTACAATTCTATGTCAAAATCATTTATTTAATTGTGTTATAGTTAATTTTAGCGTTTCATATGATTTGCACATAATCAAAATTGTGCATAATGTAAAGATGGTTGTATATAACTATACCATATTATTATACCATTAGTGTGTATATATATATGTATATATATATATATATATATATATATGTATATATATATATGTATGTATATATATATGAAACTTAATTAAATAATATATACATATTCATATTTGACGCACATCATACAAAATTGTTATTTTTTGAAAAAAGTTTGTGTCATTGTGAGAAAAAGTATTATTAAAATTGTTATATATAATATCAGATTTTTATTTATGAATTGTAAACATTTTCAATATTGACATAATATATTTTTATTACATATAAGTACAGAATAAAAAGTTTTTGACTTAAATATAAATCAATACTTAAATTTAAAATTTGAATCTTTGTTATTTGAAAATGTATATTTGTTATATATTTATAAAATTTTTCTTTAATATGTTATTTCTATAATTATATTATAGAATATAACTTGCTAAAGAAAAAATAAAATTGACATGTGATATGAATATAATTTAATATAATATATAATATATTATATATTATATTAAATCATTGATTTATGTCAAAAATTTACTAACACCAGTGATCAGTAATTTATAAAGTATATTTCATATCTACATTATATTTTATATGTATTATATATTCATAATGATAAAACTTAATTTCATTCACATTAAAAAGTGAAATGAAATTTATATAACTTAAAATTCCGAAGTATTATTTTATAATTAATAAAAACTTTATGGAGTTAAAAATAAAAAATAAATTCCTAAATATATATAATTATATTTTATTTAAAGTTCTTAAATTTTATGAAGAATCAAAAAAAGCAACAATTGACTATTAGCCATTTTCTCACGAAATTCATTAATAAAAATGATAAAAACTATTGAATAATATTATTAATCTAGCAATATTAAATTATAATTATTGTAATTATTCTGGATGTATATATATATGCGTGCGAGCGCAACACAAATTCACATAGATACACTCCATCAAAAATGTGCGTTTATGTTGTGAAATTAATTATGTACAATTTATATATTGAAAAGGAATTGAATTTATTAAGAATTTTATCGTATTAAGAAATAAAACAATAAAGATGGTTTATTAATTAATATGTTTAATAATCTTATTATTCTTATACATACATATATATCTTATACATACCGAGCATTTATATATTATTAATTATATTCATACATAACAAATATATTTTAAAGTTTAAGTACTTTAGAGTTTTATGTTTTACTAAAAATTTAAATATATCTTATTTTATAATAATTTTCATTCTATTAAATCAAAATTATTGATTTATTACGAATACTATAATATTAAAAAGAATATTGATAACTAACATTATCAATTAATATTTAAAATTAGTTTTTTATTTTGCATTATTATCTATTATAAATATTTATATATATTTTTTCTCTCATTTTCGCAACGAGAAATTGTACGCGCAGTCGCGCTTTAAGTGTATATATATATATATATATATATATATAATAAAA